GAGCATTTTTTTTTTTTATGAGTTAAAGCATGTTTATAATAGATTAGTTTATAATGGGTAGTTTTATATAGACTTGGGAAGATGAATGTTTAATCCTGTAATCAGTTCTGGGAAGTCTGGGGGGGTTAGGTGGGGATGGGGGTGGGAGGAGTATAGAAATAGAGTTACTAGTATTGACTTAAGGGGAAGTAGGATATATCAAAATAATAATAGATTAGTTATATGTATAATTGAGTTAATTATATTGAAATAATTTGAATTGTATAAATATGATTTTGTTTTGATTAATTGATGGCCTTGCCACCATGTAAAATAAAACCAATAAAAATTTTGTTGAAAAAAAAAAAAAATCCTGCTATTCAGAATACTTCCTTTCCCTACTAAGCTCTGACATACTTGTATGACTCAGAAGAAGCTAGTAGAAAAAGGAGTTAAACCTGTGAGTCCACAAAGGTGCGGCACGGATTACAGTACCAGTTTGATAATGAGGAAGGAAAGCATATCCAAGAGTTAAACAGCCACTTTGGTGTAGTGGTTAAGGCATCGGGGCTAGAAACCAGGAGACCGTGAGGTCTAATCCCTGCTTAAACATGATAGCCCAGTGATGGCAAACCTATGGCATGGGTGCCAGAGGCGGCACTCAGAGCCCTCTCTGTGGGCACGCGTGCTGTTGCCCCAGCCCAGCCTCTCCCCATGGCCCCCTCCTCACCAGCAGCCTCCCTGGAGGAGAATCACCCCCGGGTGCGGCCCACATGGAGCAGCACAGCCAAGGACATAGCCGGGCAGTAGGGACAAGACTCTGCCTTCATGCCCCATAGCCTGCAGATGATGCTGTGGGGTGAGGGCAGAAGGCGTGGCTGCCATGGTGCTGCAGGGCTGCCTTGGTGATCTGCTGCGAGCCATGGAGGTGGTGTGTGTCCCTGCAGGTGGGCGGGGCAGGGGCAGGTGGGGGCGGAGCAGGCAGGGTGGAAGGCGGAGTGGGGGCAGGTTTTGGGCACTCGGTCTCTAAAAGGTTCGCCATCACTGTGATAGCCAATTAGGCAACTTTGGGCCAGTCATTCTCTTTCAGCCCAACTCATTTCAAAGGTTTGTTGCTGTCTTGAAGTATTTATAAAAACAATAAAATGGGATATAAATAAATAAATAATGTTGGACACAGCTCATGGATCCATTGTTACTATCTGCTTAAATCAAAATCTACATATATAAGCAAATAAAGCCAAGCAGGTTTCATTTGAAGCAGGAACAAGGAAAAATATTTTGTGTAAAGCATACGTGACTATTCTTACCTCTTCCCTGATATGCTCTACTTGTTCTTCAAGAAGTTCATTTCTCTCAGTAAGAGTTTTATTCTTCTTTAGCAATGACTGACCAATTCGAGCAGCTAATTCTAAATCCCGTTCTTTCTGTTGAAGGGAGGGAGGGAGGGAGGGAGGGAGGGAGGGAGGGAGGAAAGGAAGGAAGGAAGGAAGGAAGGAAGGAAGGAAGGAAGGAAGGAAGGAAGGAAGGAAGGAAGGAAGGAAGGAAATCTGAGTTATGGCTCACAAAGGAAATGACCATCACCTTGAATTATTT